TAGGAATCCCTTCTCGACAAAATTAATGCTACCTATCTTGGTTCAAAATAGTTTTTCAGCAACCTGAGTGAGTGACTTTTAAAAAAATTTGCCCTGCCAAAGCTATTATCTTCAATCCATTTCTGCTGAGAAGTCATGACTAAATTTGGAAATTTCAGCATGGGAAGCATCTGCATTTGCTTCTCTCTCTCTCTCTCTCTCTCTCTGTGTGTGTGTGTGTGTGTGTTACTGGGGATTGAAATCAGGGCCTTTGCACTGACCTACCACCATCGTCTTTTAAAATTTGTATTCTAAGACAAGGCTTTGTTAAGTCACTAAGTTGCTTAGATTAGGATCAAACTTGAAGTCTTCCTGTCTCAGCTGCCTAAACAACTGGAATTATAAGTGTGTGCCACCACACCTGGATACATTCAGTCTTTATCTTCTGGGCCCTCAAAAGCAAACAACAAACTTTTCTGTGGTGTAGTGTCATGAAGACTGAAAATTTAACAGGTAAAGGAAGTTCCTGTTTCCTAAGTTTTGTCATAAGCCCAGTGTACAAAGGTACTAAGACTTGTTTCCTGATTTCATTCATGTTCAAACTGTACTGTTTTCTTGAAGACTGATAGTTGAATGCTAGATTTGAAAAACTTGACCAAAATGATTTAAAAGGGTATATTTCTTTAAAATAATTATTTCTGAAAATATACTTTGATGGCTCTAACGCATGTGGCTCTAGGTAAAATATATCTTGAAACACTGTTAGTCATTTTTGAGAATGGATGTTGCCTTTGGAAGGCAATCCATAGGGATCCACTTTAGGTTCTCACACAAGAAGTGGAGGACCAGCAGAGAAGACAAACAAGATTTAGCTTAAGTATGATGATACAATTTTAAGGGTTGATGCATGTAACATTTTCTTCCAGTGATCTATGACATAGAAAGTTAAGGCATAGGAGAGGTGATCCTAGAGGAAAAAGTTTTTTCTTCTCATATGACTTTTGTGTTCTGCTGATATTTCTTGAGATTCCTGAAACCTAAAAGAGACCCTTCTAGTCTCATGGATTTACAGGCTCACTGAAAGGTGATTTATTGTTTTCTCCACTTTGCTCATGCAAGACAAAGAGTTTCTTTCAGCAAATAGTTCTTAGCTACACCAAATGCCCAGTAAAAAACTTGATGCTGTGACTCAAGTAAATCTTAAGGCATGGTGTCACTGGGGAGATGATAATGCCCAGTTTCCAAGGTTTTTATCATGCTCAAGAACTGTGAAGACTTTGTTCTCAATTCCATGATTTTAGTGTTACAAAAGCAGCCCAAACAAATTGATTGTTATCATTTTGATACTTCATATGCAGTTAGAATGAGTGACTAATGGATCAGTGATGCTCCATGGCTATTTTGTATGTGGAATAAATACCAAGACCTAAGCCTTTGTCTACTAATGCCAACACCATTGTTTAATTGTGGTCCGGAGTCCATTGTCTTTCCAGTTTTGGAACTCTGGACTGGGCTTCATTAAACACAGCAGTAAGCTTCCAGTAAGCAATCGGAAACCAAAACATTTCTTTACATCACACAGTATCAATCAAGGTACAAATAGAAAATAGTATATTTTATTGATACGACTGAAATTAAAAGATCTGATTTGTAAACTATTGATTATCACATTTAATTTTCAGCTGCTATTTTTTAAAAAAGAGGTAAAACCAAACAAAATAAAATAGAATATAGCCAATCAAAACAAAACAGTGAAAGTGATACAGGACTTAAGAACAAGATAATAGGAAATCAATGGTTGCCACCATGATACCTCAAGATTGCTGCCCATACCATGAGACATAATAAAATCAAACAAAACAAAACAGAATAAAATAATCAAACCAAAACATTTAATAAAAGAAAATAAAATGGAACGAAACAGAACAATATTGAATTTCAAAAACAAGACAGAAGACAATCCCTCATAGTTGTTATACTGCATATTGTTTTCCTCTAAATAGATGTTCAGACTACCAGCTTTAGGTTTGCAAAGTTAGTAAAACAATACAAACATTAAGTTTCTTTTGTGCCTCAGATGCTAACAACTCAATTTGTGTTCCTCTGAAAAAGCCAGCTGCTTACTGGTGGGTCAGGATTTGGCTATTCTTGTCTTTCAACCTGTGTGCTGACTGGCTCATGGGAAGGGCAAATTGGCTTCCTGGTTCTCCCCCTAGCCTATGGCTGCCACTGGCTGATGGGAAGAACGGTAGCCTTTGGAACACTTTCCTCAGTAGCACAATGAAGACAGAATGATTGCCTTGTAAGCACATGGTCATAAGTTCGATCCCTGATACCGATTAAAAAAAAAAAGACAGAATGATTACTAAGACTATAGAATGTGTTATTAAATAAACTTGATCTAACTGAGTACATATAACACTTCATTTAAGTTTAATAACACTCATTAAATGTACAAGGGACATCATGACAGTAGATAATAAGACAAGTTTCCACAATATTAGGATTATTCAAATTATATAAAAAAAATGTTTTCTGACCATGGTAGAATGATGTTAGAATAATAGAAACGATAATTAAATTATTTTATATTTAGAAGTTAAGAAACACTTGTAAATAACCAGTGATTTCATGATGAAATTAAAATGAAGTTTATGAAATACTTTGAGCTGATTAAGAGTGAAAACACCTCATGTTGGAACTTGGAATACAAACTGAGTGTGGAGGCATACACTTGCAATACTAGCATCCTGGGAACTGCGTTAAAAGGATGGATAACTCTGCCTGGACAACTGTGACTTAGTGAAATCCTGTCCCAGAATAAAAAGTTGAAAAATGGGCTAGAGATATAGAGTAGTGTGAAGGATCTGGGTTCAAGATTTAGTATAAAATCAACACCAAAATAAGAAAACAAAACAAAACAAAACAAAACAAAACAAAACAAAAACACATACCTTATGGAATATAGCTAAATCTGTATCTTGAAAAATTTATAAACAAAGATCTGTATATTTATCAATGGCAATGACCTATGAATTTATATCAAAGAAGTTAAGAAAAGAACAGAAAACTAACTCAAAATAGAAGGAAGAAAATAATGTAATATGTACACTTTTATTAAATAGAATTACATGGATAAGTTAAAAGTGCTATTTCTGCAAATTTGGATCAGTGAATGTTAATTATGATATGTCAAATTAATTGGATTAAGAAACACCTAGCAGATTACTATCATACTTTTTGAGTCTGGATGGGTTATGGAGGCATAACATTGGTTCTCTGTTGGATCCCTGACCCTTTCTTTCCTAGTACTGTTCTCCTGATCTGCTTCCCTGCTGCCATGAACTAAGCAGCTTTGTTTCACTGTCCCACTCCCCTGCCATGTCCTACTGCTGTCCCATCTTGGCATGGTGTTTCTGGCCCACAATCAACTGACCCTAGACTGAATCTGTGAGCCAAATTAACTCTCCATTCCTTTATTTGTAAGTATTAGGTATTGTGTCCGGTAATGGAAAAGCTGAATAATACAGATGGAATACACAAAATCTTATAAAACAAATCTTACCAAATATGTTCTGAAAATAAAATTAGTATAACTATGAAAGTACTAATCAAAACATTCTCTAAAAGACAACTCTGTGTTTTTGTATTTTCTACCAATGCTCGACAACTTTTAATAAAATCATGATATCAATCTTAGAAAAAAATTTCTAGAGAATAAATAAGAATAAAATACCAAGATATGTTGTGAGCTATGTGTGATCTTGTTATCAAAACCCAATTAATATATTTACTAAAAGACAGTGACAGTTTGTCTTTTTCTTGTAAACAGTTTTACATATGTTAAGCAGATTGTTAGCAAATCAAATTTCGTGATACATGAAAACCTCAAAAAGTGTTAATTTGATTAAAATTGAAATAATTTGGCTGCTGAGATCTATTAAGAAAATGAAAAGGCAAATCCACAAATTAAATACATATACTCAATACTTTGATCTAAGAACTTACATTCAAATATTCATAAAAGCTCCTCTAAATCAGTAGGAAAAAACAGGCCACCCCAATTGACAAATCAGCAAAATGAAACAAACAATGACAACTTGAAGGGAAAATCTAAGAAAGGGCAAAATTTAATGGTGAGTAAACATTGAAAAAGTGCTAAATTATGATATTAATCATTTCTGTAAAATTTAAAAGTGGCAATGTCAAGTGTTTGTGAGAATGCGGAGAAATTCAGCTAATATTTTTTAAATTGGAACATAAATTGTTACAGGTTCTGTGGAAATGTCTTCAGCAGTCAGTATTTGTTGAAGTTAAACATACACATATTCTTTGACCCAAACGTTTCAGAGATAGATATATACACTATAAATACATGTACTTGTAACAAATATGTACTTGTAACAGCACCACACAGCATAATACAACTCACATGTCTACCAATATGGGAGGAGGATAAATTATAGTATTTATTGTACAAAAAGGAAAATTAATTAATTTTGTTTTCATACAACATGTAGGTAAACAATAACATTGAAACAAAAGATGCTTGACATAAAAGGATATATAATGAATGAGTTCATTTATATAGCTTTCAGAAATAGAAAGTTAATCCATGGAATCTGAATAACAAAGGAATTAATGCAAAATCTTATCCAGGAATCCTAAAAGTTCTCTGTAGAATGATAGCAAATGACTCGTAAATACCACGGGATAGAATGTGAAGTTAATAATATATTTAAGACATTAAGTGGTATTAATTGAAGTGTTTCCAGAAGTCAAGTTAGAAGATGATTTTGCTAAGAGTTTTATTAAGGATAGGAGTTAAATAATATTGAAGGCATGAATATTTCATGGCATAATGGAAAAGGCAAAGTCACAGTCACAAGACAAATGCCATTTGTCAGATGAATGTAACATTTTTGGGCTTATAATATTTCTAGGAATAAATTTGCAATTTTTTGTTGTGTATTAGTAGATACTTTTGCAGACATAACTTGATTTAAAAAAACTGTGTGTTCGTGCTCACTTCGTCAGCACATATACTAAAATTAGAACCACACACAGAATATTAGCATGGCCCCTGCACAAGGATGACACACAAATTCGTGAAGCATTCCATTTTTTAAAAAAAACCAAATTATAAATAACACAATTATAACAGGAGATCTTAACACGCCATTGACACCAAAGGACAGATCAACCAGACAGAAAATCAGCAAAGCAATAACAGAACTGAATCACACCTGTGAACAAATGGACTTGATAGACATATACAGAGTGTTCCATCAAAAAAGCATCATAATACACATTCTTCTGAGCAATACATGGCACATTCTCTAAAATAGACCATATACTAGCCCACAGAACATATTTAAATAAATGCAGAAGAGTTGAAATTATCCCATGCATTTTATAGGATCATAGCATCATGAAATTAGAAATTAATGATAAAAGATACTGCAAAAACCCCACAAACACATGGAAACTGAATAACACACTCTTGAGTAATCAATGGGTCACAGGGGAAATTAAAGAAGAAATTAAAAATAACAACAAACAAACAAAAAGACAAATACCACTTATTGGAACCTGTGGGATGCAATGAAAGCTGTCCTCAGAGGAAAATTTATTGCACTGAGTTCCCACATCAGGAAAGCAAAATGAATACAAATAAATAACCCGATGCTACACCTCAAACACCTAGAAAAAGAAGAGCAAGTCAACCCCAAAGCCAAAAGAAGAGCAGAAATTAATGCAGTAGAGACTAAGAAAACAATCCAAAGTGTCTGGGGATTTAGCTCAGTGGCATAAGCTCCTGCCTTGCAAGCAGGCAGTCGTGAGTTCGATCCCCAGTACCGATAAAAAGGAAAAAGACAAAAAAAAAAAAAATTAGAAAACAATCCAAAGAATCAATGAATCAGATTCATTGGTTCTTTGAAAGAATAAATAAAATTGAGAAGGCCCAAGTGAATCTTAGTTTAAAAAGGGAAGAAAAAGCTTAATTTCATGCAAGGAAATGAAAAGAATAAAAAAGGCAAAATCACTAGAGACTCTGTAGAAAAACAGAAAATCATCAACACCTATTTCAAAAACCTCTACTCTCATAGGTTTGATAACACAGAAGAAATAGACAGGTTCCTAGAAACATGTGAAGTACCAAAGCTAGGTCAAGAAGATGTAAAACTACTGAATAACCCAATTTCTATTAATGAAATTGAAAATACAATTAAGTCCTTATCCACAAAGAAGAGCACATGGCCAGAGGGATTGACTTCAGAATTCTACAAGAAATACAAAGAAGACTTAATGCTGACACTCCTCAAACTCTTCAATGAAAGTGAAAAGGAAACAATCCTTCTAAGTCATTCCTGGAAGCAAATATTTCTCTAGAACCCAAACCTGAGAAAGACCCAACTAAAAAGAGAACTACAGGCCAATCTCCCTAATGAACACAGATGCAAAAATCCTCAATAAAATATTGGCAAATAGGATGCAGCAAATAATCAAGAAGATTATACACCACGAACAAGTGGTATTTATCCCAGGCATGCAGGGATAGTTCAACATACTTAAATCAATAAATGTAATCCACCATATCAATAAAGCCAAAAATAAGAATCACATGATCATTTCTATAGATGCTGAAAAAACTTTTGATAAGGTCCAACATTCATTTATGATCAGAACTTTACAGAAATTTGGTAGATGTTTTTACCTCAATATAATAAAGGCCATCTATGACAAATCAACAGCCAGTATTATATGAAATGGCCAAAAACTGAAGGCCTATACCTTAAAATCTGGAACAATACAAGGATATCTCTTATCACTGCTCTTATTTAATACAGTACTAGAAATACTAGCCAGAGCAAATATCCAAGAGAGAGAAATAAAAGGGGTAAAGATACGAAAAGAAGAAGTTGGATTATCATTATTTGTGGATAACATGATATTTATTCTACATAGAAGACCCTCAAAATTCCATTGAAAGACTCCTAGATATAATGAATAAATACAGCAATGTAGCTGGATACAACATTAATACACAAAAATTAATAGCATTTCTATTTAATAACAACAAAATCACAGCGAAATAAGAGAAGCAACACTCTTCACACTAGCAAAAAGAAAAATGAAATATTTAGGAATTATTCTTATAAAACAAGTGAAAGATCTATATAAGGAAAATTATACTATACTGAAAAAAAGAAATGAAGATGATCTCAGAAAATGAAAAGACATCCCTTGCTCATGGATAGGAAAAATAAATATTGTGAAGACGGTCATTCTCCCAAAACTGTTATACAGATTCAATGCAATCCCAATAAAAATACCTTCAACATACCTCCTAGATCTCAAGAAATCACTCCTAAAATTCATCTGGAACCTGAAGAGACCTGGAATAGCAAAGACAGTTCTAAGAAGCAAAGGCAAGGCAGGAGGCATCACAATCCCTGACTTGAAGTTAAACTACAAAGCTACTGTAGTAAAATCAACATGGTACTGAAATCAAAACAGAGCTGAAGATCAATGGAATAGATTAGAAGATGCAACCAGAACTACAAACACACTCAACCACCTTATCTTTGACAAAGGGGCCAAGTAGGTTCACTAGAAGAAGGCCAGTCTCTTTAATAAATGGTGTTGGAAAAACTGGCTCTCCGTAAAACTAAGACTAGACCCATGTCTATCACCATATACTAAATTAAGATCTAAATGGATCAAAGATCTGAATACTAAAACAGAAACACTAAATCTATTGGAAGACAAATTGGGTAAAAACCTTGAAGACAGTGATAGGTAGAGAATTCATGGGAATCATATCTCACAGGAAATACTTCCCAGAATCAACAACTGGGATCATGCCTTATTGAAAAGTTTCTGCATTTTAAAAGAAATCTCTAGCATAGTGAAAATAATACCCACAAACTGGGAAAACATCTTAGTGAACTGTCTCTCAGACAAAGGACTTCTGTGTAAAACATATAATTACATAAACTCAGACCCCCAAAATTCAAGGCTCCAATCCTAAAATGGACATCTGAGATGAATACACAATTCTCAGATGAAGAAATACAAATAGAAAATAAATACATGAAAAAAATGTTCATCATCACTATTCATTAGAGAAATGCAAATTAAAACCACACTGACATTCCATCTCACTCCAGGAAGAATGGCCAAGATCAAGAAAACTACCAAGAACAAATGCTGGAGAGGCTGTGGGGAAAAGGGAACTCTCCTGCACTGCTGGCAGGAGTGTAGACTGGTGCAACCATTGTGGAGGTCAGTCTGGAGATTTCTCAGAAAGCTGGGATTGGAAGTCCCATTTGTTCCACCTATTCCACTTCTAGGCATATTCCCAGAAGAACTGAAAACATCATACCACAGTGAACTATGTGCACCTATGTTTATACCAGCAAAATTTGTAATAGCCAGACCTTGGAAACAACCCGTGTGTCCATCACCTGAGGAATGGATAAAAAGTTGTGATATTTTTATACAATGGAATACTATTCAGCTATAAAGAATGATCACATTGAGATATTTATAAATAAATGGATGCAGCTTGAGACCATACTCATAAGTGAAATATATGAAAATCACATGCATAAATACTGAATAGTTTCCCTATTGTATGAAATGGTAAAAATACATAAAGCTATGTGGTAATTACAGTTCCCCATTATATTGCTTTGAAGCCTTATAATGTTTTCATTCATTAAGTGGAATGGTTATATTTTGGGCTGTTTGATTTTATTGTCTGTGATGGTATGAACAGCTAATTTGAAGAAAACAAAGCATTATAATAGCTAGTGCTGATTTAATATCATCTTGTTTTGAAGTCCCACCATGCTTTTGTTTTTTTTGTCTCCATCAGTTTTGTCATGTTGTATCTTATTGGATATTATTATACGTGATAATATAAACAAAGTTTGTTGTAAACAAAGAAATAATATAGTAACCATTGTTCATTCTGTGTTAGTTGGTTCTGAATACCCTGTAATACTTTCATTCTCTTGAATGGTTTTACACTGTCTTTTTATGTTTTATACTGTGGTATATTAAGGTATACTCAAATATTTAAAGAAAAGAGACACTATGGTACGTAATGTTATGTCAAATTGTCTGGTGGTAAAACACTATGTTGCTTAATTGTTTTGTTCTGACCTGTGTTGTTATGTCCTCCTTTATCTTAATCTTAAAACAAACAAACAAACAAAAAAAAACTGTGTTCTCTTAGCAACTTTTCTTTTGTAATTTGAATTCCTTTGATAGAGTGACTCATTCCTACCTATTAACATATTATTTTAATGGCAGACAAATGAGACATAAAGAGTCAACATACCTTATTTGTGCAGCAGTTCTTTGTAAAAGTGTGACTGTATACAAGCGGTGTCTGTGTCCTATGTCAATGATCATGATGTAACTATAAAGATATGTCTGTGTTGCATCCACATGTTTAATATCTCAGAGTATTTCAGTTCCTGATACAGATATGCACATACATGTCGGTGTCGCTCCTGGCCTGCAGGAAGAACACGCGACAGATTCTGATGGTGTGCAATCTTGCCTTTATTTGTCTCCGCGTGGGCCCCGCGAGGCCTCCGCTCTGCCACCAGCCCTTTCTCACCGGTAGACTTTTTCTATCTCTCTCTGTGCTTCTCCCTCGTGGCGGGAGAGGCATTCACTTTTATAGGGTAACAGTGGCCAATCAGTTCAAAGCGCGCGATGCGGGCTGACTGGCTAACATCAGTTGTTGCTAGGCAGACTATCTTACAGAGCGGGTTGTTTAAGTCGCCAGGGCAATCAGGGGGCAGGAAGCAGGCGCCAACTTGGCTCACTCGATGGGAGGGGTAACTTAGCTCAGGCTTTGCTCTTTTCTACAGGCCTCACGTCCGCCAAGTAAAGCGACCGGTGTCGGCTGCGGCTCCCAACACATACAAGTTGCAGTCAATAAAGTAAAATATTTTTAATAATAAATACATAACAATAAAAATAAGTAAATGAGTGGATTCAGCTTTTTTCATTTTTTGTACCTTATCATTATGTTAGTGACATTTTGCTGAATCTTTTGCAAGCCAGCTGCATCCCATCTTTTGCAAGTGGTATATTAACATTTAA